GGAGAGGGGAGGCGGATCATTAAAAGCGAATGAAATAGCATGCTTTCTGAAAAAAAAAACAAATGTCTTCTAGCCGTTTAGATATTTTTATGCTTAGAGACTATAATTGAAGTGAGGAGGGAAGAAGGAGGAAGCAATGACAGTTTCGTTCAGCAAAAAACTGTTCTATTGCTGAGTAGGAACAAGGCGTGCACTTCTTTTCGCTGTTATTGTGATGTTCTTTCGCAATATGTGTGCATATCGGCCACTTTGTCACTGCTAAAATAAAGAACTAGCTGATTTTTATCAGTTTCTAAACTAAAGAAAATGGCAGAAGAAGACGTTCTTCTTCTTCTCCAACATCTTCTTTTCGTACTTCTTTCTGTACGTTGTCCAACCACCCGCTGTCCCGTTAGCTAAACCGTTTCAGAACAGGAAGAACTGGACAATTAAACAAAGAAGAAGCAGCTGATGAAGGTGTAGAGGGATAGGCAGCAGGAAAGCTAGAAGAAGGAGGCTGTGGTTGGGAAGGAAGAGCGACCGTGAGGAGATAGATGGTGGTGGCAACGGCGGCAGGAAAAAAAACGGCAGTAGTAGTGGCGGGTAGAGCAGTTGCACTTTGGGAACCGGATTTGCTTGGCTCGTAAATTTAACGCTACTGCATCTAAGTTCATCGCTTTCTCAACAGTTTTATTCTTCTTCCTTCAGAGGAACACTTTTTAAGAAATCATAGAAAAAAGATTTTGTTAGCAAATTTCTTTAATGCAGATGAAAACTCGTTATTATGCATTTTTTGAATTTCCTTGTAATGTATTGTAAACGTAGGAATGATAAGAAGGGAAAAATTTCAACAGAGGTAATTTCCTTATTTTTTGGAAATAGGTCTAATAATGGTATGTAATAATAGCATTTTGTGCAATAATGCGAAACCTTTGCTTTTTTTTTTTGCTAATCAATTGCTAAACAAAAGCCTTATCAGTTTTTAGCCGGTTTGGGACAACGGATTCAACGAGCGTTTGAAGTTACATACGATAGTTTTCCGATTTAAATTTGAAATGCAAAGAATTAGTGGTTTCTAATTTTGGTTTTTTTTTTTTTTTTTTTTTTTTTTTTTTTT